ACAAGTAGTTCTCTGTGAATCAGTTTCACAGATCACACAAAAAAACTTTCATTAACACCAAAGCAGCTGAAACAGATTAACAACCCCCCTGCTGCTTAACTGATGACGTCACTATCCTAAGTGTTTAATTGACTGGATATTTAGAAAGGAAGACATGTGGCAATGGGCTGCATGTGCTTGCCTGCTCCTCACCCACTGAACTAAACTGGCACCCAAATTTTATTTTTTTACTAGTTTAATGAAAAAAAAATACTGGCTTTAATGTAAAATAAGCAAATTTTTCATATTCTGTTAGGGAAACTAATGAGTGACATAGTTTGGATCTGTTTTGATTTTTTTGTTTGTGTTGCAGGTTGTGAGTCTTTATCATCTGTGTGGTGAAGATAGTCGTATTCACATTTGGTCTGATCATCGTGTTGCTTGTCAGCACTGTAGAGAAATGTAAGAAAGAAAGATAGACAGTGCAAACTTTAAGCTATAACTATTTTTGAAGGGATCTGTGTTTTGTTTAATTTATACAGTGCAAAGACATCATCAATATCATTTTAAAATTTTAGGAATTTGCAAATGTTTTATGAGGAATGCAGTACATTTTTTAAAACCTCTAAAAGAAAATTTACTCATCACATTTTCATTTTACACATTTGAAAGTCAACGCAAATTTTCTTCAAAAGAACTCCACAAAGCAGCTAACATAAATGTGTTAATTATTTTTGACGAAATAATAAAATGTCAAGACTCTGCATCACATTGTGAATAAATGCTTGTTAATCCTGATAAAGCTGTTTTCTGAGTTTTTATATTGAAAGCAAGTCTAAGGAGCTTGCAAAGAAAAGCATCTGGACTTCTTTAAGTTGCTTGAAGGCATTTCACCTCTCATCTGAGAAGCTTCTTCAGTTCTAAGGGTCAAATGGTGGAGAGTCCCAGATTTAAACCCAGTGGGAGTTTCCCTCCAAAGAGAGACAAAGGACCCCCTGATGATCCTCTGCCTAATCACATGAGCCAAGGTGCGAAAACAGGTATGGGTAGGGATGGGTATCGTTTAGGTTTTATCCGATATCGGTGCCAAATCGGTACTTTTGAAACGGTGCCGGTGCTTAAACGGTGCTCAAACCGGTGCTTAAAGAATGGAGAACACAAACTTTGTCCAAAAACCTCTCATGTTCAGCTG